TGTGATCTGTGAGATTCCTGATGGAAAGGCAGGAATTATAAGTAAGATTATGTACTTACCCCAGTTGTGCTTCTGTCAGTTTGGATGTGTGCTGAGGGTTTAACCATTCCAAGTAGCCCATTACTAACAATGTCCATAAGAACTGGGAAGCAATTCAATCTTTTGGTATTGCATGCGAAGGAAAAGTTGTAATTCTACAATATAACAAGTAAGGTTATAAATTCTCAAAGATCCTCAATTTTTTTCTAAAGAACTCAAAATTCACTATTTTAATTTAAGAGATTATGTTTTTAAAACTGTTAAATAATCAAAACAAAAAACTGAATACTGTATAAGTAAAAATACTGTGTAAGTAAAAGCAAAACTTTTTTGCTGTGTAAGCAAAACAAAATGTGTATATAGTAAACCAAAATCATATATCTGATTTTTAGGACACCAGGTGCTGTGTTTGAGGCTAGAATCATATGTTGAGTGTTTATTGTTTAAGAACAAAACAGAAGTTTCAGAATATATGTGTTATAAAATCCTTGAGAGGAAATATGAATTTTTGGACTTCAATATGCATTTGACAGGGAGTATTTTACAGTACGTATTTTGCTAATACACACCATTTCTGTTGGTGGACAATGATTGATATGTGAATTAATTGTCTATTATGCTAATGAATATAATTCACTAAGTGATAAATGAAAACAGTATTTGATTTTCATTTTTATTTTTTAAACTGGAGACATGACTATATGGATATTATATTAGCTTTTCACACCTTTGGGAAAAATTATTCAATAGAGACCAGCATACCTTTTTGTTCCCAGACACCGTGATGGCGCCATTGTAAACCGGGTCATCTGTGCCATTTTTAATTCCAAATACATCCACTTTCAGAGCTATGTTCTGAAGCTCCAGAGAATGTATAAAGTCATCAATGCTTGCCCCTAGGGTGTGTAGTCAAATATATTAGGTATCACACAACTGAGAAAATTGATGTCGAGTTGTGTAGTCAAATTTTAACTAATGTCATTATGTGATACTTATAGTAGTATGGGCTGTCAGGATATTTTTCCACATGTGAATTAAAAATCTATTTACCTCTCATAGAATTTACTTCATAATATGTTTATTCGCTTATGATTGCTCTTAATGTAAACAGTTTTTTTAGTGCCATATGGCTTTAGGAATAAATTTTTTTTTTCCTAGAATTTTGCTGTGCATGGCCATGACCAATAAGGTTTTGATGACACAGACAACGTCTACTGATAAAAGACCTAGTTTGCTAAAACTCACTTCACTCCTACTAGGTTGTTAATTAATTTTCAAAACGTTCTGATAAAAGAGGACAACTTATAGCATGGCAAT